TCTGCGAGCTGCTCCTGAGTTTGGCATGAGTCTTGGTCCAATAATACCTCTAACTCAGCGTTTTCAAACTTTACTGGCATTCCTTCGCGTTCTTTATCTTCCACGTCTAACTCGCCGTTTTTAAACTTTTGAAACCACTCACAACAACTTCTCTCACTTAAAGCAGCATCACCGTAAACTTCTACAAGCCACCGATGCGCCTCAGCAGCAGATTTCTTTAAATGAAAGAAATAAATCAAAACTTCCCGCAAATGACGCTTATTTGGTTCAAAACTCGACATTNAGATATTTTCGAACGAAAAAAATATATAGTGCCAATACAAAGTCAATAGTATTTTAAGGTTATGTTGTTGCCAGGTGTCCAAACTTTCTATATTATGTTTTACATCTGACGATTTCAAAGTAATCTTGTCGGTGGAGCCATCTTTTGAAAACGGCGGAAACTTATTTGTATTACTAATTCCTTTGCGTTCCCCGACAACTGACCTACGAACCCCAGATCCATTTCCATCCCCATCCGATTCTTATACATCTCTTTCCGAACCACCTACTAACTCCTTATACTCCCCTTAAGACACTCTCGTTACACACTCAACTTGTCCCCACACATCACTATACACACACTGTCAACACACTTGTCGACACACCAAATTACTCGTCGACACACAGAATTAATTTTGTAATACCTCGTCGTGCGTTATTTCATACTGTAATTTCACCTTTTATCAAATATTACAAATTCGCCCTTTTTTGTTAATAAATGTTAAGAATATTAGCTTAATATTTCATTTTATTTTCTTACCATCGCGCATTCACAACCCTTTCCTCAATTATTCCGCTCGCTGTCCCATCCCAGGTAAAGGGTTTCAGTATCCTGACCTAAAATAGGACCACCCTGCGTACGCTCGCGTCAGAGTAAAGTGACCCTTCAGGTTTCTCACTTGTACCGCTGGCATACAGGTACGTTTTGGACTCGCGTTTGCGTTTGCGAGTTCAGTCGTTGCTTTATCTTCCATGACGTAACAATAATAACCAAGCGCTTTGCCTGTTTAACTATACCGTTGAGTTTGTGTGCTATTAAAATAAGTCAGTATGCATTCTATCAAATAAATGCCGGTAATTGCTCATTTCAAAAGTCCGCGTAAAAAATATGAAAATAAATTTTTTGCTGTAAATTGGTACCAACATATCTAATTGTCACGTAGAGTTTTGGCGCCATCTATCAACTAGTTTATTTAAAACTGTCTTTAATAGTTCACCTCAAGTGTACTCTGCGATTTTTAAATTTAAAAAAATATTGAAGAAAGAGTTTGACTCAAATTTTGTGTTGCCAACAAAATTTCTTGTGCTAAGTCGTTGAAAGTGTTGGAGACGGCCTACGGTGAGTCAGCTTTATTGAAAACATGAGCATACTAGTGGTACAAAGCATCAAAGGAGGCCGACAAGTAGTTGAAGACTTGTCTCTTTCCGATCGACTTTCAACGTCTTCGACTTACGAAAATATTGTTTTATCCACTAGGATTTCCTTCCGAAGGGACAGAGAGTTACCAAACATATATTATCTGGGCATTATTAAGTGTTTGAAAGAGAATGTTTGTCGGAAAGGACCAGATTTGTGGAAGAACATTTCTTGGATATTGCACCACAATAATGCGCCGTTTGACACGTACACCCTTGTATGCGAATTTTTTACATAAGGTCGACTATTAAAAACAGCTGTAAATAAACAAGTTGACAGATGGGGCCAAAACTCTACTTGACAATTAGGTATATTAGTATCAATTTACAGAAAAAAATTTATTTCCACATTTTTTACGCGGACTTTTGAAATAAGCAATTCCCGGTATAACAGGGGTAAAGTAAGAAACCGGAATTTCCCTATAGATGGTGCTAGCCATCAGTTTAGGGACCGTAAGACCGCTTCTGCAGCGCCATCATCTCCCTCTAACAGCTGACGAAGATTTTCAACACACAACAACCCAAGTTCCATACACCGGTATATTTTTCTATAACCTTAAACATGTCGAGTTTTGTGTCTACGAACTACGATTTGCGGACAGCATTGGTTTTTTGTTATCATTTGAAGAAAACTGCTGCGCATCGAATGATTGTCGAAGCTTACGGTGAACATGCTCTTGGTAAAACACAGTGTTTCGAGTGGTTCTAAAAATTCAAAAGTGGTTATTTTGACGTGAGAAACGAAGAGCGTGGGAAACCACCGAAAATGTTCGCAGACAACGAATTGCAAGCCTTATTGGATGAAGATGATACTCACACTCAAGAAGAACTCGCGGATCAATTGAATGTGACGCAGAAAGCTGTCTCAATTCGTTTGAAAGCCATGGGAAATATTCAGAGAGTGGGAAAATGGGTTCCGCGGGACCTGAATTAAAGGCAGCAAATCAAAAAACCACTTGCGAAATGCTGCTCGACAGATACAAAAGAAAGTCCATCGTATCATGACATGTGATGAAAAATGAATATATTTTGAGAATCCTAAGCGTCAGAAATCATGGGTGAATCCAGGCGAACCATCGACATCCACTTCAATCGCTTTGGAAAGAAGACAATGCTCTGTGTTTGGTGGGATCAGAAGGGTGTGATCTATTATGAGATGCTAAAACCTGGTGAAACAGTTAACACTGATCGCTACCAACAGCAAATGATCGATTTAAATCGCGTGAAAAACGACCGGAATATGGAAAAAGGCAACACAAAGTCATTTTGCTCCATGATAATGCCCCATCACACACAGAAAAATGGGTCAGGGAAACGATCGAGGCGTTCAGTTGGGAAATACTAACGCATGCGGCTTATTCTCCAGACTTGGCTCCGTCCGATTATCATCTATTCGTCTCAATGGGACACGCTTTCGCTGAACAACGCTTCAATTCGTATGAGAATGTATGAAAATGGCTCGATGGCTGATTCGCTTCAATAGAAGAAATGTTTTTTTGTCGTGGCATTCATAAACTGCCGGAGAGGTGGGAAAAATGTATGAATAGCAATGGACATTATTTTGAATAAAATATTTTTTATCATTTTCAAACAACAGACCTGTAATTTTTACAAAAAAATTCCGGTTTCATACTTCAACACCTGGTATGTCCGCCACTATATACAGGGTGCGTCAGGTATTTGAGGACGTTCACATATGTGCTTGGCACTTCATAGCAATTGATTTGATTTTTTCTTAGCTCAAATTAGAAATGGAAGACAATAAGCTAACTCAGAAAATGAAAAGACACGCTGTTATCGTCGCTATACACGCGAATCACAGCGATCTTGAAATCTCCCTATTTTTGAAAGTCGCCCGATCTTTTGTTATCAAAGTTCGTCGAGAGTTAGAAGCATCTGATGGCAATGTGGAAAGTATTGCCAAGAGTAAAAAACATGAAGCACGTTCTGATAAAGTTAGAACATCACAGTTTGTGCAGAAAGTTCAAGGCATTATTGATGAAGGCCCTTCAAAGTCCATAAGGGCAATATCGAAAGATCTCCATGTTTCTGTTTGCACAATTCGTCGCATTATCAACGAAGACATCCGGTACAAGTCTTATGCGATGCGTAGAGGTCAGTTCATGTCTGCACAAACTCGAGAACAGCGTTTCATTCGGGCATAACAACTCCTAAACAAGTTAAAACATCCTGAAATCTCGGATATGTACTGGTTTTCTTCTGACGAAAAAAATTTTGATCAGGATCAAAAAATAAACCAACGAAATGATAGATGGCTTTGTGCAGATCCTTCAGATCTTCCTCGTGTTATGCACACAAAGTTTCTGGCAACTGTCATGGTTTTGGGGGTGGTGAGCAATGAGGGACACGTCATGCCACCCCATTTCTTTTCTCAAGGACTTCGGGTGAATGCCGCCGCCTACGTTGAGGCTTTGGAAACAGTTGTGAAGCCTTGGATAGACAGCGTGAGTGGTGGGAAGGCATACGTATTCCAACAGGACTCTGCTCCTTCACACAAAGCAATAAGAACGCAAAATTGGATGTCCGAGAATCTGCATGATCACATAACCACAAACATGTGGCCTCCTAGCTCCCCGGATCTTAATCCTTTAGATTATTATGTATAGGGCGTTGTTGAATGGGAGACCAATAAATATTCCCATAATACGCTTGATTCCCTCAGAGCAGCTATTACTAGAGTAATGACGCATATGGACGAGGATCATTTGATTCGAGCATGCAAACGTTTTCGGCAGAGAATTGAAGCTGTTATTGCCGCTGAAGGAGATTTTATCGAATAACTGTATAGCCCATGGGCCACTTACTTTGCTGTAAAAGTTTCATTAAAATAAAACAAGTTTTCTAAAAAATATACAAATTTTAGTTTTTAAGTCAATATGTCCTCAAATATCTGATGCACCCTTATATACGGTTGGATTTAACATAAAATATACTTTTTCCGATAAACAAAAAATTTTTTAATTATAAAAAAGTTGATGAATGGTGTGGGTATGTTGACAATCATAACGTTTCTCAAATATCTGATTATGTCATTGCAAAATATTTCTAAAACTATTTCATTTTTGCTTAGAAAATTGTTTCCTCTCCCTAATACTCTTGACAATATATGCTCCTACAGAATAAAACTGATTTTTTTCAAAAGAATATTTTGCACATTAAAAATTTGTCTGGGCACGTATAAAAAAATATGCGTCCTTTCTTTTGGTATGAATTACAATGTATTTCGAGCTCATCTCAATTAAAGGGGAACACAGTGTTGGCATTGCTTATAAGTTGGTCATGAGTGTCATTTTGTGTACAGCCGCTTTCTAAGTGCTTTCGACAATAAGAATAGCATTTCTATAAAAAAAGGAATTTTCAAATCGCTTGGAAAACGACTGCAAATTTTAAATTTTCACGGACAAAGACAAATCAATAAGTACCCGTGTTTGGAAGCTGCATTGATAGTGCATGGCAATATCGTCGTGTACTACCATATCTAAACGATGACGTACAAAATTTTAGAGTGATTCACGGAATAGTTTCAATTTAACGGCAATTTATAAGAACTGTGTTTGGTGTTTCTTGATACAATGTAAAAAGAGCAATATCGATCTGTGATTCAATTTTTATTTTTGGATGGAAAAAACATGAGAAGAAATAAAATCGAAGTTGGGCAATCTATGGAAATCCTTCACTATTTATGATAACTGTCAGATATTGTTTCAACGAATTTAAACGTGGTCGTACATCTGTTTTTGATGAAGAAAGCTCAGGCCGCCCTGCAGACATAGTTACTGAAGAAATCGTTGAAAAGGTCCACGACATTATTCTCGCTGATCGCCGAACGAAAGTGCGTGAAGTAGCAGAGGCCATGTCGCACGAAACGACACTCAATATTTTGCATGATAACTTGGGAATGAGAATGCTGTCGGCCCGATGGTTGCCACGATTGTTTACGGTGGGCGCATCAATAGGACACGCTCTCGCTGAACAACGCTTCAATTCGTATGAAAATGTACGAAAATGGCTCGATAGCTGGTTCGCTTCAAAANGCAGTCATACATTATGATTGGTCTGATCAGTAATTGATAACAGATAAGTTTTTGTTGTACTATGAAAATATTTTTTATCATTTTCAAACAACAGACGTGTAATTTTTACAAAAAAATTCCGGTTTCATACTTGTACACCTAGTAAATTACATAACAATTTACTGCTCATCTACATTTTGTGTATTCGGGAGAGATTTGAAGTCATAATGCTCCGGTGGTATACGAGGTGTGTTCAGAAAATAACGGGAATTTTCTTTTTTTGAAAAAAATATTTATTTATTTGTCTACATTAATGTTGTCGCCTTTAAAATAGTCCCCATTAGATATTATGCACTTGTACCAGCGCTTCTTCCAATCTTCGAAACACTTCTCAAACTCGATCTTTGGGATAGCCTTTAGCTCTTTCAGCGATGCGCTTTTAATGTCATCTATGCTTGAAAACGACGGTCCTTTAAAGTTCTCTTTATTTTTGGAAATAGGAAAAATTCACACGGAGCCATGTCTGGCGAATATGGAGGCTGAGGCATTGTTACAGTATTATTTTTGGCCAAAAAATCACGAACAAACAATGAAGTGTTCTTGTGAAATTTTGTTGCCACGCGTTTCATACCCAAAACATTCGAAAAAATTTCATGGCATGAGCNCCAAAAAATCACGAACAAACAATGAAGTGTTCTTGTGAAATTTTGCTGCCACGCGTTTCATACCCAAAACATTCGAAAAAATTTCATGGCATGAGCCAATCGATATACCAACATCATCAGCGACCTCTCTGATTGTGATTCGGCGATCGTTCATGACCATTCCTTTCACTTTTTCCACGTTTTCATCGGTTGTTGATGTGCTGGGGCGTCCGGGGCGTTCGTCATCTTCAACGTCTTCACGGCCATCTTGGAAACGCTTGTACCACTCGTAAACTCTTGTTTTACTTATAGCAGACTCACCATAGGTCTTTGTTAACATTTCACACACTTTGTTACACTTTTTTAACGCAAAATTTGATACAAATTCTTTGATCCATTTCTTTTAACAAACGAAAATCGCCGAGCTTATAAAAGCACGTCTAACCTTAGCGGCTGCCACCGACAAAGAAAACAATGAATACAGCTGAAAATTTTATCATACTTCAGGGGCATGTATACCAACATAATAAAAAAAAATTTGATGATCGGACTCTCCAAACCCGCGAAATTAAAAAATTCCCGTTATTTTATGAACACACCTCGTATATCGTTGTAAGTCCATTATGTCCTTATATTTCGCTGTTGTAATTCGTCTTATATTTTAATAAAGTGATGTCAATACAATATTTTCGAATTTTCTTGTTCCAATCCGACGCGGTAATATATCCAGGGTTTTAAACTCTGCATTCTCATCCATTGATATCTTATAGAAAATTTTATATGGTCCATTTCTCAAAAAACGCATCCAGCATATTTTTAACCAATTTATTGTTCCTCTGTTAGAATTCTTTACCCTTGTAAAAACTGCGTCATCCAAAAATCTTGTTGATATGAAGTCCTCTTGTTTCACTTCATTTAGAATAATGTTATTACATTTCCTATACTTTTTGATAACATTATAATAATCTTGTAGGATAAATAGTAAATTATTTTTCTTTAATGACATTTCTGCGACGCACTTTCGGACATTACCAATAATGGACTGGACTTAGGCCACTTTCAAAGTAATGTTGTTAATTATTGAAATAACTGCGAAAATTTATGTGTCAAAAATTATTGTATACTCTGAATATGCTTAACCGCAAAATGTTTATCACAGCTAACTTCAAGTTGTACACGTTACTACAGTTAACAAAAAAATTGACAAATAGACTAAAGCCACTTTCAAAATAAATGGCTCATTTATCTTAAACAATGAAAGGAGAAGAAGAGAAATGAGGAAATGGAATGGATCGAAAAGAGTGGGCAAGAAGGATCAGAAGAAGAAAAGGATGAGAGAAAAGAAAGTAAAAGAAAAAATAAAAAACTGAAAGCAGGAAGTTACAGGAAAAAAACAGAATGTAAATATGCATTAATATATGTACGTGATGCATATCAATAAAATATAAAGAAAATGCGTAATATTCTTTGTTTGTGAGCGAATGCACTCACTTTCTCGCGTGCAATGCTCCGCTGGATCTGCCCAGCGCAGGGCACGGAATGCAAGGAAGGATCTGTGTGGTGATGGAAATTCTTTGAAATCGAGCTGCGGTTGTGCAATGGTTTATTCTTCTGTTAAGCCAGAATGGCGATCTGGCCTTTACAATGCAAGCGTGATGATGTTCTTCCTTTTCTTGTGCCACGCGCAACCGCGGTTACAAGACGCAACACGATTCAAGTTGACGATCACAACGTTCAAAATTACAAATATGATTAAATGAAGACCGACAATCACTCGCGAAGTAGTCGCGAGGCCGCGAAAGATGTCTCGTAACGAGATAAAGAGAAAACGTGAGATTGATGTTTCGCACGGACGGTTGACCCGTAGCAAGCCGAGATACGCGAAAAATTAGAACCGAACAGCTTGTTCTAATTTCGATTCGAAAAGTCTCTCTCGCTGAGAGTTTGCTTAACGTTTTTTCAACGGTCTCTTGTGCTCTCAAGGCACCTAGTTTATATACCGATACAATGTGGTTTTTTTCTTTCAGCGGAACGAATAGATTGATCGACCTTCGATCGGACGAAGTCTTTTCGATCATGTTTTGGATACGATGTGACAATTCGGTGTTCTTCTACCCGAACACGTGATGAGACACGCGTGTTTTATGTTTACTTATGTTGTTGTTGTTTAGAGATCGTTTGCCGCATCATGCTCGGCTCACATGATGAGCATGATAACATTAACGATTTCAATTCGAATTTTGAAATTCTTAATATATTCAGATTTCTTTTTGAACACTGTGTTTTGCAATATCCGACTATAATATTAAAATCGGACCGCTTCGTCCAGCTGATCCACCACTCCCCATTCGCCTCCCTAACACTTCTCTATCCGCCTATTCTCCCACCATTCCACCCACTTCGTCCAGCTCTCCATATTCGTTTTAGTCTTTTTTTCTGTCTTCCTCGCTGCCCTCATCTCCTATTTGATTCATAATATTTGAAACA